AGAGTGAGACACAACTACGACCTAGATAGCCTGCCAGTGTATCACAGGGCCAACATTCAGCTAAATTCAGTTCAGCTTATTAGAGCTATAAATTTAATTATTTATATAGCGACAACTTACAACAACAATTTTCTTCAGATTCTTTATATTGTAAGGTTACCTTACAATAATACAGAGAAAAGCCTAACAATCAGATGACCTTCTATGAGTAAGCACTTGGCAACAGTGGGAAAGAAAAGCTCCCTTTTAACAGGAAGAAACCTCTGGCAGAACCAGACCCATGCAGTGGCAGCCATCTGCAGCACACCGTTGGGGGTGAGGGGAGGAAGACCGGTCAAAAGATACACTCTGGAAGAACTAATGGTTACATGCAAAGTGGTGTACAAAAACAGAGAGAGAGAAAAATTCACACTTACAACTACAGTCAATTTAGAATCCCCAATTAAGGTAACCCCATGCATGTCAATGGGCTGTGGAAGGAAGCTGGAGTACCCAGAGAGAACCCATGCAGACATGAGGACATCATGCAAACGCCACACACAAATGACCTGGCCAGATGGTGGATTCAATCCCAGGACATTCTTGCCATTTTCATGCAGTGTAACAATTAACTATTTTGAAAAAAGGTCGTTTTTAAACAGAGCTCTGCTTTTTTTTTGTTGTACGATATATTCTGGCTATCAGCCACATGCCTTAAGCACATATTGGATAAATGTGTCATTTATTACATTAGCCAACATGGTTATGTGGTTTTTAGCTATTTGTGGATGTCATTCTTTCTGTCTTTAAACACGATAGATTGAAAGGCTAATTAATTCTGATAAAACATTGAAGTGGAGCAGTAGAGGTCATATTATCCAATCCATTAAAGTTTGGCTTGAATCTGCCGAGGTATTCAGCGTCAATATAATGATGTACTATTCAAAGTTTTAGAGAAAGCATTAGAAGTTAGAAACTATGATTCATACAAGTGTGGTGTGTGAATGTGTGTGTGAATGGGTGGATGACTGGATATGTAAAGTGCTTTGGGGTCCTTCGGGACTAGTAAAGCACTATATAAATACAGGCCATTTACCATTTATTTACCATAGAAAGTACCGTATGTCACATTTGACCTCTTACCTTTCCTTCAAGGTCAATGATTACACTGAAGGTTGACATGATAGTATTGTTATATAGAGCTACATATATAGAACTATTTAAAACTATGTTTCTTATTGTATGTATTGGCAACATATATTCGTATAAAAAATTATATATGTGGATTCTAAATAGCACGTAGTTTGGATCTCGGACCTGTCCTTCAAGGTCAAATAAGACCAAATTTTCATTAGGTCAGTTTTTATAAAGTTTCTGTTATCATTAATATTATTCTATCCAGCTTCAAAAAAACCTGACATACTGCTTGTATGTCAGGTTTTTTTGAGGCCACTCTACTAGAGCGCCTGTACTAGATGCGCCTGCTCCCTGTCATTTCAAAGAGTATGTCGTTTCCACAATACTGCTTTCCTCCCGAGGTCGTCAGAGCCATAGAAAGGAATGACTTACTCAAAGGCTCTGTGTAAACTGTGTCAAAAAGTTCGGTTATGCACAGAAAGTTTTCTGTTATTTGGTTGAACTTAGTGCAGCTGTAGGCTTAGTTTAGCGAAGGTGTGTCACAGTACGCAGCGGTCGAAGTTCAGCAGGGTTTTGCGAGTACTCTTCAGGAAACTGTTATTGCACAGCACAAGCAATAGAAATGAATATTTTTGAAGGGGCCTTTATTTAGACAGAATGACTTTAATCAGGGTCAGTTGTACCGATGTCTTCTGATTTCTCTACTACACAGTAAAAATATTAAGAGCAAAATTCGTTTTTGATCCTTCTATTTTAACTAATAAAGGAATGTATGCTGTATTTCAAAAGTTGCGAGACATGTGAGTTAGGAGTGTAGGAGCACTGTGCAAAGTCTCCACAGAATTATAGGTGGCTGACATCTATCACGCACTGCATCCGCCTGTAGTGTTATATGTCCAAACAATTAGAAGGCTGACATTCAGCATATTGTAATGCATAACACATGAACAATACAAAACTGCACCATTTAAATTATGTGATCACAAGGATGAGTGAGAAGTGGAGAGAAAAGGGCACAACATTTCAAAAAGTGATGCATTTTAAAACGTGTAATAATCTTCAATCATGTAATTCATTGTGTGTGACCTTTGAAAACAGGCATAGATGGAACCATGCAGGCTTTATGTTTATGAATGTGTGCCTTCATACATTCTTTAGGTTTAAATGTCATAAGAGGCAACTCTGAAAGAACAAACAGTGTGCTAAAACTTCTACTTGAAGTTATATTAACTTCAAAAAAAGGTTTAAAACTTTTTAAATTTTAATTAGTTTAAGGCATATAAATCATGCACTAGCAAAATGTATATTAAGATATTACATTGTATAGTAGTGTGATGAAGTGAAAAAATAACCTTGCAAGCTTGAACGTTAGTCACTTTGTCATAAACCATATACAAAATGAAGCTAAAGACAAAGTCCTCTGCAGTTCACTGTTACCTTTAGAGATGATAAAGTCTAATGGCCCTGATCTCTGCCATTTGGAAGTCATAGCCATCATAGAGAAACAACTAATCACTCTTCAATGAGTCATTCCCTGTGATGTATGGAGATGATTTGGAAGAAAGCACAGTACAGAGTCAAAATCCTCCAGAAAAGAACATTATGAGGGAACATGAGGATGGTAGAGACTGCACTCGTAGATCTGGTTTCAACTATAAAAAGCTTTGGTTTGGATAAATGGCTAAATTCTCCAGCTCTGTAACTGCATTGCAGTGGATGATTTATTCTGACTGTCCACTGCTCTATGGGTGGGGCATTTCATCAATTACAAGAGCACAAAGTAATTATGCTAGAGTAGTGCCTAGAATGTAAAATGCTGTAGTGGCTGTACAGCAGTGATACAAAGTTGTATTTTTTTGCATCATAAACAGTCTGTAATAAAGGACAGGCTGGTCTTGGCAAAAATAAAAATTAAAAATAATATTTTGGACTGTATTCAAGTGAATTGTTAATTAATTACTGCCGATATGACCTGTTTCCAGGGGCTCATTTTAAGCACTGAAAGTAATGATTAGAGTGGCTACTTCCTGAATGTTTGCACACTGACTGAGACAGAGAAATAACAGATTTATTAAGCTAATTGGCTTGGGAGATTTTGCCCACCCAGATGTCAGAGTCAGTTGCTGGTGTGAACAAGTAAGTTTTCAGGTTCGCAACCTGTGATTTGACCCTTATTTATATATAATGCGATTAGGTTCCTGGTTTTGGCCAGCCTATATTTAACCTAGTCACACTACCTAGTCAGTTTGTAGTCTTTCACATTTAGTGGCAGTTTGTATAGTTTAAAATCGAAACCCCTGACTGGTGATCTTTAAACCTTTATTTCGGCATTCCTTCATTAAAAGCAAACAAAATTCCGCTGTTAAAATCAATACACGAGTTCGCAATCCCTTCCTAAAACCACTGAAAAAGTTTTAACTCTTCCATGCAAAGCAAAAAGATGCAAACGTAATCTAGAAACAATCTTCTAATAAATCAAATTAATTTAAGATGCACTGAGGGGAAGTGGAAAGTTGTCCTGTGGATTCACTATGTAGATGGTCAATCCTGCTTTATTTCTGAGACAATGCTAGTACACATTTTGCACATATTGCAAGAGCACGACTCCCTTTTCATATACTATAGGTGCCTTTCTTACCACCCAGGCATAAAAGATTGATGGGTTATTATAATCACCCTGCTGGAGCAGGTGAGCAGCAGGTCACCCAAGTTTGTGAATGGGATAACTCGACGAATGAGGCAACATAGGACTTTGAAATTCCTACCATATCTGCATCTACTAAAAGCCTCAGAAGGGTTTGAGTCTTAGTGACCCCATGGGAAAGATCAGAGGTATTTTTTCTGAGGCTGTGTAATGAGATGGAATTTATGCAGCTGATTTTTAGGTCCCTTTATGTGCTGATATCTTGTTCAGCCACCTGCTGAAGGACATTTCTATTGCACAAAGACTGAAATACACCTTGAAGCTGACTAATATGATAAGCTGTAGGCACAGACGAAGGAAAACTCGTGGGAATGTGTTGAGGTTCAGAGGTTTCAGTCAAGAAGAGCTGAGAAGTTTGATACACTTGGCTGACTCTACTCTGGCTTAATGGAAGAAGTTGATCTCAAAGGTGTCATTTAGGGATTGTGTGAACAACCCAATGATACTGATACTGTGGAAGAATGTGGTCCTCAGTATTAAGGACCATACACTATATATATATA